GGTGTGGACTGTGATGTGTGACTGTGAGACATGGACTGTGAGCTGTGGACTGTGAGGTGTGGAATATGAGGTGTGACTGTGAGGTGTGGACTGTGATGTGTGACCGTGAGGTGTGGACAGTGATGTGTGGAATATGATGTATGACTGTGAGGCTTGGGCTGTGAGGTGTGGACTGTGAGGTGTGGACAGTGCGGTGTGACTCTGCGTGCGGTGTGACTGGGGAGACAGGCACGTGGAGATGGCCAGGCGTGGCGGGGCATCCTGGTTCCCTGGGCAGCACTCCCGCAGCTCTGCTCTCCCTCACTTCAGTTCGTGTTCAGTTAGAAACATGGAGACGCCACCTTTGCTCCCTGGCTACGGTGGGGTCGTGAGAAGGAGGCTGGGTGTGAGGGCTCCTCAAGGCGGAATCTTCGTTTGTATTCAGAGTTGTGTGTTGGGAAGTGGTTAAAGGCCGGGTGCGGTAAGGAAGAGGTGCGCTGCTGGAGGAGGCGAGGACAGTTGCTCTGGGCGGTTTTGTGGGTGCTGTTGTGTGAACCCCTGTTCCTGTGGCCTAAGCAGGGAAGGCTGGTCTGTGGTCGGTTCCTCCCCCTCCCCCTTCTCCTCCCTTTCCCCCTCCCATTCTCCCTCCTGTTCCTCCCCATTCTCCACCCCCGCCGGCTGAGGCTGCCCCAGCTCACCTGGGTTAGAGTACATTCTGGTCATATGTGTAGCCAGGCTCTGCCCCTTCCAGGATAAAGGCCACAGACCCCCATGGGTCCATCACAGGTGTAAGTTAGAGGAGAAGGGTCCTGAAAGATGAGACTGGGCTGAGACAAGATGTGAAGGAGCGGAAGGAAGGGGACTGTGATGGGCGTGGTGCAGCCACACCACTCCCTGGAACCTGGCGGGCCTGTCTTGTGGTCAAGGTAGAGTTGGGGGTCACACTCCTTGAGGACTGTGGCCTGGATGTGGGTGAGGCAGGGTGCACAGCTCCCAAACACAGTGGGACTGGGCTTCTGCCCCCAGGATCCATGCTGGCTTCATCCAGTCTGGGCCTCTGCCTGCCAGTGGCTCCATGATGTCCAAGCAAACAGGGCCTGTGCCCGCACAGTGGCTCTGTCCATGGCGTGCCCATCTCTGCGGCTAATGTGGCAGAAGTCAGTGGGCCCTGCCTGGTCTAATACTTGCAATGCCCTGAATGTCCTTAAGTCACCGCTGACTGGGTTAGCAGGGCAATTTGGAGATGACAGAGTTGGTAAAATGCAATAGCACTTTATTTCTAAAAATCCCTTCTAGAATAAAAATGGTCAACAGTATTAAAAACTAGGACTTTTCTATTAAACTATTATGATACCAAAATTATTAGCTTGTACTGGGAATCAGAAAGATTTCAGTTCTGTATCTTTTCTAGAATTAGAGCATTGTTTTGTCAGCCATGATGCTTATCATGCTCTTCCCATAAAACCGTGTGTAGCTGGAATGCCAGAGGTGCGTTCACTCACTCATTAGCCCGTTCAGCTCATCTATTCTGAGTCGGTGCTGAGCAGCACCTCTGAACTGCTCAGGGGTCAGCCAGTGGCTGGGAAGGGAGGAGGCAGTAGCCAGTGGGACACGGGCGGTGGAAGGAGCCTGGCGTGTGTGGGGGGAGGTGCAGGCCCGGCAGGTGAGGGCAGCACCGCTGGAGAGGACGGAGCCTTGAGCAGCCGCTTCCCTGCCGTTCTGCAGCTCCCTGGTCAGCACCAACGAACACCTGCTGCAGGAGCTGAGCCAGGTGCGGGCGCAGCACCGGGCCGAGGTGGAGCAGATGCACTGGAGCTACCAGGAGCTCAAGAAGACCATGGCCCTGTTTCCGCACGGGAGCGCCGGCCCTGGACGCTGCCAGGCCTGCTGACTCCTGCCAGGAGCTAGTGCTGCTCCTTGAGCTACCTGCTGAATTACGTGGCCTGTGCCTTCCTGTTTCTTTACTGAGTGTATTGGCTGGCAAGGGTTCTTGCTTCTGTTTGTAAGTACTTAGGATTTTTGGAATGTATTCAGGGGCTATAGCTTGTTTTTCTAAAGCATCCGAAAATGATATGATCCATCCAAGCCCTTCGCATGTTTGGAGACAAAACACATTGACATATTTTGAGACCAACTGACCATTAATCTTTCATCCAGTGTCCAGAGATGACGTAAATGCAGTGTTTCACTACCTGATATAAAGGAGAGCTATGTATGATCTTTATTTAATAAATGATACATTGTTCTGAAAAGTTAACTTTTGAAGTGTCTGTACAAACAGTAACAGCTTGTCCTTGAGTTATTTTCTAAAGCAAGTTATGCACCATGCCCGGTGAGCAGGAATAATTAAGTTCAGACTTAATACAAGTAACACTTACAGATGTGGGGGAAAATCCTTAAAAGTGTTGTTTTAAGGTGTGAACGTTTTGTAGCCAAAGCATCTGCCCAAGCCCTGGCCCTCTCGTTTGCAGTGTAGTTCCGGAAATCATGCCGTGATAGAACACAGAAGCGGATGTTTAGTTTGGAAATTTCCTGTCTCATGTCACCCTTGCTGTGATGGTAAAACAGGCTTTTGTAAAACAGGGTTTTTTAAAACGACGTTTAAATGATTTGGGAAGATGAGCAGGCCTAAGAAGAAAACGCTCTGTGCTAGGTGTGCGTGTGTGTGCGTGCGCCCGCGTGTGCGTGTGTGTATGTGTGCGTGTGATCCCTGGGGAAATCAGAGGTGGGACTCCACTGTCTATTCCCCAGAAGAGGACTTCCTGGGCTTCAGGCCGCCCTGTTGTGTCACCTCTCTGTCTGGTCATGGTTGTAACTTAGCAGGAAAATGTGGCATACCAAATTTATTTTTTGTAGGGTTGGGATGGGGTTCATCTGTCATCACATAATTTATGTATATGAGAGTATTAGAAGATGCTAGTCTACTTTAACCTTATAGATGCTTACCTCCTTTGAGTTTCAGTGAGCTTCTTGGACCTGTGAGTTCATATTTTTCCTCAAATTTCGCAGAGTTTCAGCCACTATTCATATTCTTGTCTGACCCCATCTCTCTCACTCCCGTCTCCCTCCCTGCCCCGGCTGGGACTCTAGTTCGCTCTCTGTCAGACTGTGATCCTGTCTGTAGGCCACTAA